CAATAGATGGCGCTGTATGTTGCATGATTTAAATATAAAGTTCGGTTATTTTTAGAACACACCGTGTATTTCTAAAGTCTATAAACCTTTTCGTATAACTTGTGTTTAATGCTCGAGAGCTAAATTAGGTGAAAGTTTTCGATTTAAATGAGAATACTTTTATTGTCCTTATTGGATTATTACTCGAACTATATTTATTTATATTATTTAGTAGTTATTTTGAGATTTTATTATTTATTTTATTTATTTCTGGATGTAATGGCGTTGCGATGATAGAACCCATGTCTTCAACATATTGTAATTGAATATTTGAAGTATTTCTTTCACTTCAATTAAAGTTTCTCCACAAAACCTTTGAAATTACAATGCATTTTGAATGCATTTGAATGCTTTGATATACGGCTACCTTGACATAATTCAGCGAAACAAGAATCAATGTCTGCGCAGGCTAGGTGACGGGGATAAGAGTTCCATTTTTGAAAGATTTCGATGCGGTACCAGCCGGTGGAAACAGAGAAAGGTGAAGACCTCCACTCCGTTGGAAATACAAGGTAGAGAAGGACTTTCCTGTACTTGCTCTTCCGATTGGCGCCTAAAAGCAAAAAGAAGGAATGAATAGCGCGCGGTTGTTAACTCAGCTATAATTGCACAAGCGATGTCTGCGCCAGTAAAGAAGAAAATCATGCACTGCTAACCATTCGATGATTCAGACCGCCTCCTCATGGTAACACTACATTTCATAAAATACCTGGCTTAGTAACCACGTTTCACTTCAGTAAGGCCACAAAAACAACTGCAATGAATGTGTCAGATTAACCTATTTGCGATAATTAGCAGAACACTGAATAATCGAATTATTTTTAAGAGCAACAATTTAATATAGTCGGTCATGTGGCATATGCTGGCTTTACAAGTTAAATATATCAGCGATTCATCGTTAATTAAAAATCTCTACAACAATTTTAAAAACATTTTTCTATTGACGCTACTGACGGCCAGAATTCCACTCCGCAGTGAATTTCTGCTTTGTTCAAGCGTAATAACACATTGCAAAATGAAACCTCACTAAATGCGATGAACCGATAAGCTTTTAAATTAATTTTAACTACTCGTGCGTCAAATTCACCAGAGACTCATTGATCTAGTGGCATAAATTTGTTAATCGTGACAACAAAACTATTATGATTATGGACAAGTAATACAAGGAACCGAGAAATGCGCATAACTTTTCAAAACATTAAATAAGGAAAAATTTATTTAAATTTATCTCAATTAAAGTTAAGTTAAGGTTGCAACATATTTGAGCTATTTATATACCGAGATGCACTTTGGGGCAAGACAGACTTGAAGGTTTTGACCGTTAGCCTTTGAATTATTTTTAGATTAAATTTAGTGCCTCAGCTTAATTTCCACATAGAATAAAATTCGAACTTTTTTGAGCTTGTTTTGACATACAAAAATATGGTTACTGTTAGAGTATGCCTAATTAAACCAGGAAAATTGTTCATAAGAAATTAAATAAGCACAAAGTTTATAATAAAGCTCTATGTCTCATAAGTTATAAGTAATTCCATATTTCAAATAAAACTGCCTACCTCAGAACCTCGCGATCGAGTACTTGCGTCGTGGGTTAGATACTGAGAACTGAAGAGGTAAGCAAGGCGCATTTAGAGCAAAACAAGAAAGAGGTCGAAGTGCGTGGGTACGAAGAGCTTGAGAGGCTGGCCAAAAAGTATTACGTCAGAAAATTCTACGGCGACTAGTGAAAGGGCCGGAAGAGGCTCCGGGGAAAACTCTTGTAGGAAACAGAGAGGAAATCTAGTGACGGATGCCCAATGAATTTATTGAGGGAACACTTCTCCGACCTGTTGAATAACAATGCAAATGAAACACCTATAAATGATAAAGCTAAAACTCCGACTAAGACGACTTTCGAACAGCGATTGCCCGCTTAAAGAACAACAAAGTGGATGCCTACTGGAAGAGCTCAAACATGGCGGTGCAGAGCTGTCAATTTGCATGTATCTGCTAATTTGCAAAATAAAGTCGGAAGAAAGCATGCCCGACGATTGATTGATTGTGCTCTCCCCCATCCATGAAAAATGCGACCTCACAGTCTGCCCCAATTACATATTCCAAATCTCCTAAGTATCGCATACGAGTATAAGGTAGTAACGAGCGTATTAGTGAGAAGGACTTCTCCGAGACAGCGTCTACACTAAAAATTATGTCAGCATAGAAATCCAACGCAGAATCGTCTTGCCAACAGGGGCTACATTGGACTGAGTGGGCAAGTGAAAAGTCTATTCTTCTCTCAACTTACAAGTCGCTTAGCCTTCCCGTCCTTCTATACGGTGCGGAACCATAAACGATGACAACATCTGATGAAGCGGCATTAGGAGTTTTGGTAAAATAGATTTTGCTTAAGATTTATCGTCCTTTACTAATTGGGAATTGCGTATACAGCAGCCGATGGACCGAAGAGCTCATCGAGATATATGCCGACATTGAAATTAGTTGTGCTGTCGAGGTCATGTATTCGGTTGTATGTGTGAGAATACTCCCGTTATGAAAATTTTCGATGCAGTACCCGCCGGTGGGAATAAGGGAATACCTGCACTCCTTTAGAAAGGCCAGATACAGAACGGCCTGGCTGTATTAGGTATTTCCAATTGGCGCCTAATAGCGAAAACAAGAAACGAATAGCGCACTGTTATAAACTCGACTATAATCGTGATAACGGTGTCTACGCCAGTAAAGAAGAAGAAGAGAGAGAAAAGATGTCGGTGAAGCACTCGCCAGTAATCAGAGCGTTGCTGGTAAAAATTAAAAGGTTTTCATCGTTTTGAAATCATTCAAAGGTCCGAGAATTTGGAAAGGTAACCAGCAGAACGTAGGCATTCTGCACATAATTATTATGGCCATAAGCTTCGATTCGATGACATTTTTACTGCAGTTCTTTTTTTTTTTTTTTTTTTTTTTTTTTGTTGAAATAATTATATAATGTAGTTCGGATGTTGGGATTTTCGGCCGAGGTAAGGTTCAGAAAAGTGTACTTTCTTAAGTAAGAAGAATGAAACTCGAACCTTTGAATCACTATTTAACTGTCATCTGCTTTATAATACCAAATTTGCGCAAAATAAAAGAAGCCCACAACAACGTGGGGCCGGTGGCGCTTGTACATATATCTATGTATTAGTACGCATGCAATGTGTAATGACTTAGTTGGCTAGCAAATCGAGCGATGTGCAATGAACTGCCAAGTTCTTGCGTACTCGAAATAATGAACTAGTTAGTAGAATGGTATACAAGATCTCTAGTCAGCGTGTAATGACCAAACAAACAAACAGCAACGGTCAAAAACAGACGGTCGTGTGCGCCAATTACTACTGACCGACCACCACGTGCTCCTTCGTTTGTTGATATCTCAAAGCTAAGACCAAAACAGTTTATTTTTCATTTACTCGTGGGCAGCTACATACATACATACACGTATGTACAAAGCAGCAGCTAGATGAAGCGGTCACTCACTAAAATTACCGGTTCAAAATCAGCTGATCGAGCGTGCCAGGTGTGCAATGAAAAACATAGTAAACAAAAAATACCGTAAAGACAACAAATGCTCATATACCTGCGTACATATATATTGAAAAGCACAAAATTCATTTTCATTCATAAACCAGAGACGCTGACTGAATTACTCAGTTCATTCGCTCAGTAAGGTATTCATTTTCAGCGCATAACGAGAGAATATCTGCTGAAACTGAGAGTAATTTAGTGAAAAGCGTTTGCTGAGAGGCTTAAAACTATGCAACTCGGCTGAAGCGCCAAACAGACAGTGTTGGGCGTTCGTGGAGAGCGCATGCGTTTGATATTTTTGTTAGGTAAATTGTGTGACGGTGAACATTAGAAGATATTGGTGAGCAAAAATGCAAAAAAATAAATAAAAAAAAGTAGCAAATGACAGTGAAAACTTACAAAGCTGCACATATTTATGTATGAATTAAAAAAGAAAGACGGTGAAAAGTGAACGTCAACACTTCATTATAAACATAATATACGAGTATATGCACAGACAATAATACTAGTGTGATTATTGGTTTTTCCGCACGTCAGCTAAATATTTAGCTCGAAAAACGTGTGTGTTTGAAGGAAAAAGTCGTGAGCACGAATTTCGGCATTGTCGTCTAACAGTGAATTGTCGTCTAACAGTTATACATAGCGTGCAGTGCGGCTGCAGTGTGGCACATCACATGGCAACAACGACTTTCATCGCCGTCAGTCGGTTAATACTTTGGTATCATCATTCCTAGGCTATTGGCGTGTGTTGTGGGCTGACTGCACACGGTTCGAAATTGATTTTTTCATCTTGTTTGCAGTTAAACAGTTTGTAGAAAATCGAAAGTGTTGTTTGTGGTCGTTAATGTGGCACGATCGCTGTTATGGATCCTAAATTGTGTTTGAAGTGGAAACAATTACATTCAAAAAAAAAAAAGACAAGTTTTAATAAAAAAGAATTGATTGATCGACAATTAAATTGAGATTGGCGTTGATCTTTGATCGGTGCTCGTTGCATGTTGATCTTTATAGAATGGCAGACTTGAAATTATAAAAACAATAAATGTTGGCAGCGGATATGCGCTTAAATGTGTTAAATAATTTTACTAACGAGATTCATATTTTTTTTTGTTTATTTTTTTTTCTTAAAAGCATTGCAGTTATACTTGCACATGTATGTATGTGTGCAACTAATAAAATTGTTTTCCGTGTGCAGTTAAATATCAATAAAAATAAAGCAATTAAAATTAAATTAATTTTATTGTGCGCATGAGAAAAGTCATAAAGAAAACTTAAAACCCGACATGGCAAAATAAAACAATGAAATTGCAAATAAAAATGTGAATAGAAAATTTTTGTGAAAATAATCTGAAGTGGTTGAGGACATAATCATATTTCGCGCTTACTTTGCTTCTATTTCCAACCATTACTGTTACAACTTTATTATTTTCTTGTTATTATTTTTTGTGTTTTTTGTATATTGTTGTTGTAAAGTTACACGTTTCAAATATCCGTTTGTTGTTTTATATTGAATATAATTTTATTTGCGCATTTCTGTTTGCACGCGATCACTTTGAATTCAATCGGTTTCTGCTCTAATAGTTTGCAAAGCCGCGAAAAGTGTCGGTGTCGGTTTTCACATATATTTTTGCATAGTTTTTTTTTTTTTTTTGTTATTATTTTTTTCTTTTCGTTTTCAGTGAAGCTAGTTTTTCCAGTTTATTTAATTTGTTTTTGGTATTTTTTGGTTGATTATTATTATTTTTATTATTTTTATATGTATTATTTATGTGGCTTCTGTTTGACTGACTGCCTGAATTACGAAACGCGGTTACGACTTTGCCCAAAGTTTGCTTAAAGTGCTGAAGAAAACTAAAAATGTGTGTATGTGTGAAATTACCAAACATCGAATAAGTAATTATGCAAAGAAAAATAAACAAGGAATTAAATTTATATAAAATACAACCACTGCCGCCAGCAATAAAACCGACTTTTCCTGTCCATAATTATTGGTTGACCAACGGTAGCCGACGTAATTTTGCATTTTCAGTTGTTTGTTTATTTGTTTTTTTTTTTTTTTCTTTCGTCTAGTACATGCTACACCGTTAATCAATGGCATAAAAGTGCGTTGGCCGCAACACTGACCCCGCATACGTCAGCTCATATACAGGAATTAACACTCACACAAACACACGCACACACACACACACATGCACACACATGCACACACAACTGAATAACATAAAACAAAAGTTAAAGTTTGTAAGTGGATAGCGATCAAGCCAGTCAGTCAGCATCCAACAGCTGCCACAAAGCAGTGAGAAACTCGTTCATACAACATGAAATGAACCGTTAGTGCAGCGTCACGACAATGTAGTGAATTTACTTTATTTTTGTTTCGTGTTTTTTTTTTTCGATTATAAAAGTGAAATTTCTCCAATTTTCACCTGTCATCGTTGTTTTTGTTGCTGTTTTTTATTTTAGTTTATTATTCATTTCTTTTTGGCATCTCCAGCGCTGGAGTTTTAGCTCTTCGCTACTGTCTACCAGCGTATTAATGTCTTTTCATCTGCTTAGTTAAATCCACAATTTATTTAATTTTGTGTTGAAAAAAAAAACAATACTTCATTTAAAACAAAACAAGTTTATGTGTTTTTTACATTCGTTGTGAGTTCAACTCTGCTCTCGCTCGTGACTTTTAAAACATTTTTAAATCAACGAAATGGCATTCCAAAAACAACTACTATTTGTTGGCTTATTTTTGCTTTTGCTACAGTCGGCTGTCGTCGTTACTTCCGCCAAAGCTGGGAGCCAGAAAGTGGTGAAGGAAACTCAAGATGATAAAACGAAAGGTAAGTTATAAACTAATTATTCATCTAATATGCGGAATAGCCATATAATTTCAGTGATTAGTAGCATATGTAGCTGTAATATGTATGAAATAGAAACTGAAAGCGTTTTTTGATAGCTTGAAAATAAACAAATTTCCACTACTCAACGAAATTCCGTTGTTTAAAAAATATTTTTCTAAAGAAAGCAAATAAAAACTTCTATTTTTTTGCATTTATATTAGGTTTGTTTATTGAAAGTGTAAATAGAGTAGTAGTGCAACGCAAGTTCGAGCATAACGGTGCAGCTGCGAAAAAACACTAGAGCAGGTTAGAATAATTCGAAGCCGTAACATAATAAAACCCTTGACGGGCAACACTTTTCTTTTGTGAATATTTGATCTTTAAGTTGTAAGCAAAATTTAAGCAATTGCATTTTTTTATATATCGAAGCAAAATATGGCACTCCTAGGTATGACTAGTCAAACCTCAGGTCTGTCATAAAGTCTTAATATAAGTCCAAATAAATGACGTTGTTCTGACTTTGACGAAAAAGTTTTTGTCCTTTGTTTCCGTCAGGAGTTACTTTTTATCAGCCGTCAATCGCAAGAATTCAATTTCGTTAAATCATTGCTTGGTCAGTCAGTTGAGAGAATCGTAAGCTCTCCCTTCAACAATTAGTTTCATTCAGCCATTTAGACAAACACAATTTTTTGTACATCTTAAATGCCACTTTCAATACATAGCTGGCTTTAAAAATGACCTGAAGTCAACTCCTCTTCCACGCGGTTGGGGTATGCCCCTCCTTAATCAGATTTAAACACAGAAGGCGTTACCTTGTACTCTGGTTCATGATCAAGAAGAATTTTATCTAATTCTTGTGCAGTTTTTAAAAGTTCCGCCTAGAGAATTATAAAATTTGGGAAACTTTCTCGATAGTTTAAAATTTGTTTTTAAAAATCACAGTCAGGACACGTTCTCATATCTATGAGGTCAGCTTGTTTCCGTGCGTGAATCTCATTAAATAATAATGTTTTAACGACTAGCCTCTTTTTGGGCTGACTCTTTTTCTTGTGGCATAAATCTAAATACTCTTTTGTGACATTTGATTTGATTTGACTTTTCATTTAATGCTTTAATTGTAAGATCTCTGCCACGGTGACTACAATCTCGATGAGAACTTTCAATTATTTACATGGAATAAATCGTAGTCTGTTACGTAGTATTTTTTTTTTTAATATATTATATATAATACAAAATATTATTAGCATTAATGGCTTAATCAATATTTTTGTTTCCGAATTACAGACAGTTTAAGACCGTGATACTGTAAAGACTACTACCATAGTTAGTAAATTCTATAGATTCAACCTCACAAACAATCTCTTCATATTTATATTTGTTATATGATGAAATGATGTATTTATTCACATTAATAAGTTTTTTAAAAAAGCTTCGAAAATGTGAATACAAAAACTATAAAATTCTGTACTCACATTTTCACTCAAATCCCTGTTTGGCTCACTCATTTTTAAGCTTACTCAAAGGAACGTTAATCGTACAAACCTGGAATAACAAATGAGTTTTATGAAACACCGGGAGAGTTCGGCTAACAACCAGTACAATGAACTTTTCATTAATTCTGCCGTAGGCGCTTCAGGATTGACTAGGAAAGCCCCGAAATAGATTATTTTACATTCGTCATTTGGTCAGAGCTAGGATAAGGAAAACAGTTCGAGAAGATTTATGAATATTAAACTTTGGCTATAATATACATACATATTTTTTTAGAAAACAAAAAAAGTTTTAGTTGTATTTAAGTTATTTGTTATACCCGGTGAACATTCTGTTGTCATATTCTGCCCTTTTTGGACTTCTAATCATGACTGCTCTAAGTTACTCTAACAAAAGAAGTTAGGAAAGAAAGCAGAAAGAGGACTTTGTTTAAATTTGCTCTATTTATACTTAGAGCTGGCTCATGAAACAAAAAGTAAAGGAAATAAGAGCAAGGTTTTTTAAAAACTCACTTTTGAAATAAATTCAACTGGCGTTCCATAGATCAACGCAATAAACAAACCTATTATTTCTTATACTTTGAATAAAAAAAGTTTATCACAAACACAGTGTACGAATAATTTTACAAAAAAGAAAAGTCGAACAGTTTTTCCAAGCCTAATTAATATTGAAAGTTATTTGAAGTTTTCTTGAACTGGATTTAATGTCGACTTGTCATTTAGATGTATCTGTGTTGTAAAAATTTTAAATTACGCAGCAACGGCTGAAGAGGTGTAACCACTTTAGATTTTTCAAAAAGTATTTTTTTTTCGCTCACAGCATGCCTTTGGGTCATAGAAATTATATGCAATTGGTTTTAAACTAAAAACATTATTTCAAATAGCTGACCTTTGTTGAAGAGCGTGCGCTGAGTACAATGATAACTTTAAAGGCGTTCTTCTCAAGATCATATTTTTCAAACTGGGAGGACAGATTATTCAAACCTTATGCCACTGATTTATCAGAAATTTTGATGTTAGCCTCTCAAATACATTTTTTTTTGGAAGTACGTAGACATTTTTTGATTAAATGCAAACTTTTATTTTATAAAAATTTAATGCGTATTTTTTAGTCAAAAATCAATCTTTTTAAAAAAGTGTGCCGCTTTCACAAAAATTTGTAAAAAAAAATAAATCCATACATACTTTCAAAGACCATAGTTTGTGTTGTAGATCATACAACTTTTTGCTTTCCTATTCGAGGTCTCATACTTTAGAAGAAATTGATCCTCCTGTGAATGCTTTTTAAATTTCAAGAAACAACAAAAAAAAAAAAACAAAAAAAAACATGAACTAAATGATGGACTTTATCACTGCCATTTAATAACTATATAATAATTAAAGAACATTTTTTTGTACTTCAACATATGTTTAATGAATTGGTTGAATAGGAATTCTATTCCTTTTCCAATATGCCTACAATAAATTTATAAAAATGAGTCTATTTTTCAAACTCTGTACAAATAAAAATTTAATACAAACAAATGATTAAAGCGAGCAAATAAGTTTTTTGATTTCAAAATTTAAAAATTTTGTGACTATTGCCCTTCAAATGCTTTGATTTTCCCAATTATATATATCACTAAATAAAACACTATTTTTTTATTATTGCTATTGCATTATATAAACTATAATTAGTATAAAGGACTAACAAATTTTTAGTGAGTAATAAAACTTTCACACAACGATAATAATATATTCAGACATTTTTGTTTCCGATTTTCCACTTTTTGATGCGGATGGTTATACCAAAATGCAAGTTTTACACCAAGAAGTGTGGAGAAATATTAATTATATTCTTTAATTGTTTAACCTTTACTTAATCCATGGCCTTTACACTTATTACTGCAACATATTAAGTACTAAAATGCCTTATTTAGGTATATAACACCAAGTCTACCGAGACTTCTTTTATTTCTTTAGCTATCAAAGCGTGTCAAATGACTGGTCTTAAAAATATTATATATGTTACTATGTCTGAAAAAAAAACATTTTCTTTAATTTAAACTCAAACTAATTTATGTATTAAAATTAAAAACCAATTCGAAAGAGCAGAAATGAAATATTCTTCAATTCAAATTTCGAAAATAAATAAATAATATGTTAGCTTAATTAATATTCACAGCACATTTTTGCAAATTATTGAATTCTCGAAGGTGCGTTTTCCACAAACATATTTCTTGCATTTGAAGATTTTCGCATAGTGAACACTTTTTTAGCATTTGTACTCGAGAATTTGAACCTAAATTGTTTGATATTTTCTTTGCGTTTCCCCCTTTTTTGGCATTAGAGCTCACAACCTTCCTAAAATCATTACAAAATTGAACTCAAACAGATGTTAAGTCTGATTCCATTTTTCGCCAAATCGTATCGGGCCGAAATTTCTGTTAATGAGTCTCCAATATCAGTATCACTCTCTGAACTCGATTACAGTTTTTGTTGCTATCCATTTCATACATTTCATATATTTTCGTACTCACTTTATTTCTCTGAGTACTCGCATTTGTTTGTGTTGTCAAAAGAATGATACAATAATTTAAAGGTGGTTTAATTTTCTTTTCGTAGTCGTCTATCTGACATTAAACATGTTTCGTCTTCTTTGTGCTACCTTCTTTTCTTAAATTGACTACTTTTAAGGAAAAAGTATGTGGAGGACTATCAGAAATTCACAAATCAAAATTAAAATAGAGTCCAAGAAGATGAGGAGCTGACTGGATTTGCTATATTTAGGTTTGAATGCAAATCAGTCTCACAGTTTTAGAGATGTTTCAAGGAAATTTCGTAAGCAGACCGGATATTGTTTTAATAATTTTTAATTTTTTTCTAGCAGTGCAAAATCCAATATAGAAATCTCATAATTACGCTAAGAGTCCTTGAAGTCGAATAAATTTCCAAACACACTTGAATTCAATCTAACCGCTAAATATATTGATATTCGGAAATTTAGTCAGCTCGTTAGTTACACGGCTTGCCCGATAATAGAACCCTGGTCTCTTGATGATACCAATGTTGGTTCTAGGAAGAAGATTCCTCTTACCTTTCCAGATGCTCAAACCACTTGTGTATTTTACAAAGTTCAAGAGATCAATAATGCCTAGATATACAAGCCCTCCTAAGTAATCAACGAAAAAAATTTCCGACAAATCGATAACGAAAAGCACTGAGAGATGGGCAGTGGCAAAAAAATTGTATGAGAAACAGCCCGTCCTTCTACCATGAGTCCTCACAACACAGTGTCTGTTTAATACGTCGGTTGTTATGCTTATGGACGTCATGTTTAGAAGTAAAGATTTTGTTCTGTTTACTTCGATCAATTGAATGTGGTTTTACTCTATCACCTACTGTTGGCGATGGCTAGTCTCAAGAAATACAAAAATTCATCCGGATTATTTTTGTTTGCTATCCGGTCCGCTCATTGACCCCGCAGTTCCCTGGGGTGACCCTGTGAGCAGGTAGCTAAACCACAGGCGT